TTTTTTTCAAAATTTTTTGCTGTGTTTATTTTTTTCTTAAATAATCCCTTGCTCGAATTTTATTTTTTTTCAAAAAAAATGTTGGGGGGGGGGGGTGAAAAATGTTTTCCCGGACTCAAAATTTTTTTCAGGACAAAGAAAATAAGGTCGCAAAAATTTTTTTTGTTTTAAAACGCAATTTCCCCCAACAAAAACTTCTTAAAACATGATTAAAACGCTTATTTTCCAAATTTGGGGGACACCCTTGCACTGTACCTCTGATAGGCCCGGTCAACTTATAATTTTCCCTGTTGAAAAGTCTCTGCACGAATTTTTTTCTTCAAACATTTCTGGTGCACGAATTTTTTTTCTGTTTTCCCTGCTCGATTTTTATTTATGCTTTTGCCCCACCCCCCGTCCGCCCCTTAGCTACTTTTAGCTAATAAAGGAATAAAGATCAACCCTTTCCGCCGTAAAGGTCAATTTTAAAATATTAAATTTTATACCGGTGTCTCAAAAAACACCGTTCGTTTCATGTAACGTAAAAGCTATAAAAGCTATCGCAATGAAGTAAAGATCATTCCATTCATAATGGACTAACTTAGATTTTGATTACAATTACTGAAGTAGTTATAACTGTTAAATAAATTGTAAATCTAAGTTAGCCATTATGAATGGAATGATCTTTATTTCATTGCGGTAGCTTTTATAGTTTTTACGTTACATGAATCAAACAGAGTTCGGTGTTTTTTGGGACACCGGTATAAAATTTGATAATATTTTAAGATTGACCTTTACGTCAGAAAAGGTCAATCTTTATTCCTTTATTAGCTAAAAGTAGTTAATTCATAGTCCAAATTTTACGCACAAGTTGCTCTAACTTCGAACAGCTAACAGTTGACTTCAAATTACGATTTGAAGTTTGCCGTTTGCCATAAACAGTCCCTAATAGAGACCTTTAGATTGACGTTTACGGCAAACGTCAAACCGTTAGCGAGGTTTATGATTTTACAACTCTATTATAATAGCTTTTACACCAGTTTTGAAATATGTTAAACTTATTAAACTTGTGCTGTTTAACAATGAATTAAGAAAGCAAATTAACCACTAGTCATGCCATTCACCAAAGCAGTAAATTAAGATTTGGCGTTTGAAGTTGACGTTTGGCGTATAAATTTCATGCTTTAACGACTACAAGCCCTCGTAGCAGTACAAGCATGAAATTTATACGCCAAAAGTCAACTTCAAACGCCAAATCTTAGTTTACTGCTTTGGTGAATGGCATGACTAGTGGTTAAATTGCTTTCTTAAATCATTGATAAAGAGCACAAGTTTAATAAGTTTAACATATTTCAAAACTGGTGTAAAAGCTATTATAATAGAGTTGTAAAATCAGAAACCTCGCTAGCGGTTTGACGTTTGTCGTAAACGCCAATCTTAAAGTCCCTAATATATATTATACGTCGGCTGAAATAAAACGTATTGAACCGTGATTGAACGAAACGCGATCCAAATGATAATTTAACTTGTTTGGGATCAGATTAACCGTAACTCGTTTGCATCTTTCAAACGTTGGAGCTTAACTCGAAGAACAAAATGTTTGACTTTGCTCGAGTAAAGCCCCTATTTTCTAGAGAGCTTAACTCGAAGTATCTAACTTCAGTTATGTACTTCGAGTTAAGCCCTCTACGGAAATGGGTGTGGCATGGGCGGTTGTAGGGGCATAACTCGAAAGGGCGTGGTCGGGGCTTAACTCGAAGGGCTTAACTCGAGGGGCTTAACTCGGAGGTTTGCTACCCCGTGTGACGCAAGCTATCCTACCTTAATAACCTTCTTATTTTGTTGTAAGCGTTTCATAGTTGCCAAATTCTGCTTCGCTGACGTGCACTCCTTTCTGTTAAACTTCTTAAATTTCGTATTCAGCACATAGCCAGCCTTTGCATAACAATACGTTATGATAGTCAATGGTATGCAGTAGTCGATAATGAACAATGCCACCGTATAGTATTTTGCATTCTCGGGAACAGACCAAACTTCCCAGCAACCATTGTCAATGTATTTCAACGCTTTGGCGTAAGGAACAACAATTGCTATTGCTATCAGCCAAATGAACACTATGCTCACACGGATCCATTTTGGTTTTAACCTACGATACAACCCAAGTTAATTGGCAGCGGTCACTATTTATGGCTGGGGGTGGCATCGAATAGAAAAGGGTTGGGTAAACAAAATTTTGAGTGAGTAAAAGGTTGGGTAT